GGAGTCAGTGGAAGCTGAAGCTCCAAGTATGAAGAGGTCACCAACTTTCTGCAGAGCCAATCACTGCACACCTGCAAACTTCATGAGGCCCTCGGATTAGCTTAAGAACGTGGAAATGGTTTCCATGTTTGAGCATCTGCATCCCAGCCATGAGTCACCAAGTGCAATGAGTCAGATGCAGTGGTATACTGTAGAGCATCCTGCTGCTGGACTCTCTGAACTGACGGATTGTGCTTATCCATTTGAAAATCTGATGGATGAGCCAGGTTTTGGCAGTTGCCAGGAGAGCTATACTTTTCTGAATGCATTGGTGTGGGGTTGTGTATGGTGTCAGGATTCTGCCATAGGTCCACAAACGCAATAAATACTCCTACAAGCAGCTTTACTTCATACAGATCCTCATAAACCACTCCTCATGCACATGTCTAACATGTCACATACACAAAAAGAGTCCTACAGGGCCCCGTTATATCACACAAGTGCTTGTTCCTTTTCTGCGAGCGTGAGGTTTGATTTTCACAGGCGTATCCTCCCTCCTCCTCGAGTGTGGGCTTGTTTGTGTGCGCTCATGTCAACTTTTATCACTTTGAAGGTGTTACCCACCAGGCAAGGCAACCTACCTGTGATTGGCTTCTTTTCAGGAAATCCTGCCTCTTGAGACTGCACTCTAGCAAAGCAACATCATTTAACGTGCATGTTAAACATGCACCTGAGTAGTAGTTTATGAGAGTCTGTATGAAGTAAAGCTGCTTTTTGGAGTATTCATTGTGTTTGTGGACTTATGGTCGAATCCTGATTCCAAAGTTGTCTTTCATGAGCCGGGTTTGGTCCCTTAGCTCCAGTGAAATGAACTTTCTTCAGCTTAACTTCAGTAAATGAAGCGCCTAACTTTGAGGGAACAGTTTGGACATGGCCCCCTCCTCTTCCACCATGACTGTGGACCAGAGCACAAAGCAATGTCCATAAAGTCATGGATGGTAGAGTCCTGACCTCAACCCAATAAAAAAACATATGGGATGAATTAAAGCAGAGACTGAGAGCCAGGCCTTCTTGTCCAACATCAGTGTGTGACCTAACAAATGAGCTTCTGGAAGAATGGTCAACAATTCCTATAAACACACCCCTAAACCTTATGGACGGCCTTCTCAGAATATCTGAAGCTGTTCTAGCTATAAAAGGATTGGTAGCATCATAGTGAACCCCTATGGCTTAGTAATAGGATGTTATTTAAGCCAAACGTGAATCAAGACAGGTGAGCAAATGCTTTTGGCAATATAGTGTAACCAGCATCCTGCATAGTCAAGTACAAGCTTTAAGACATGCATTCTCAAAAATGTCCCTATGAAAAACACTTACTCATTGTTACATGAAATTCCACTCAGAGAAGTATAAACTTGTTACTAGCATATGGATATAAAGGGCCATTTGTACATTAAATCATATTTTTTTTTAATTATCTGTTCACATTAAACTTTCACCTGAATTCTGACTGTTAGTCTGAAAATATAATAAAATTTACTCTAGCAATAGAAAAAAAAAACCTCATACATGCATAAAATACATAGAAATATGTTGCTCATGCTCATCAATGTGATTTTGCTGTTGGATATTTTTCATAGTTGGAATAGTTTAAAAACAGCAGTAAGCTGAAAATCTAATCTAGAGACACACAAAAATGTAGATTTTTTTTAAATAAAAATGATAGAATTTTAATTTAATGAAGATGTATTCAGAGACCTCTGAATGCTTTCTACCCTGTAGCCCATTAAAACTGTATGTGCACATAGAATGTAGATTGCCTCGCAAAAGTATTCTCCTTTTTTGTATTTTGTCTCATTAGAAGTGTAGATCTCAGTGTATTTTATTGTGTTTTTATAAGATAAAGATACAGTTTGTCACTTCTTTTTTGTTATCAATAAAATTGGAAAAGTAAGAAACACATATTTTGAGGAAATTAAATCTAATTTTAGAAATACAACTATAATTCTTTTGTGTGTTTTATTCTCTTCTATATTTGCAGATCAAGAAAGGGGCATTTGGGTCAGTTGATCTTACACTCCAGTTTCAATTCTCTTTTAGACTTTTACAGATATTAAGAAGGCCTGCTAAAGGCTTTTTTTTCTCCGATAATCATGTCTCACAGATGATGATGGAGTCTGGAAAGTAATGTATGAATAACTTTCTACCTCATAACGGTGTATTGGTAAATTTCATAAAACCGTAATAAAATACACTGAGGTTTTGTTGTTGACAAAATATAAAAGGACAAAAAAATTGAGGCAATGCATGTGAATTTGCCAATACCATAGTCATAGTCATTCAAAGGATTCCTTCTGCTACATGTATATCAGTGAAACAAACAGGATGCAGTGGTGACCAACTTTGTTTTATTTTATTTTAATGAAATGGTCTGGCCCAATTGGTACAAGAAGAGGAGGGGATAAGAGCGTTAACGGATTGAGGAAGGGACCCATGCGCTTGCAGCATGGCTAACTAACAGTATTAAGAGGTTTGTTAGCATCAGGTTAAAAGGTAACCAGTTAAAGGAGGGCTCAATAGGCTGAAAAATTGATTTTTAGCCTTATGTTCTAGTTGTAATAAAAGGGGAGAAAGGAATCAGTTAAAGGGATATACCTAATGAATAGAGGATTACTGGTTAATTCTATATATTTCACATTTTATCTAAAAAGAGGCTGCTTGCAGTTAAGATATTAGTATTTGTGTTTGTCTATCAATGGAAAATGAATCTGTGATTAGATAAAGTGATCATGCTTTTCAAGTTCTCACTTCATGCATAAGTGTGTTTAGGTATTGTTGATGGGCTTAAGGTGAGTCGCATGCACAGGTAGGAGGTTTAGGAAAAAGAGAAATACTGTACCAATTGGCACGGGGCATCCAGCCCATCCAGACCTGGCTGCCCTGGTTCCCCCTTTTCACCCTTAAATCCCCGGAAACCCTGTTTGCAAAGATGACCTAGGAGTGTTACTGGGAGAGAGGTGGACGACCCTTTACCCCCTGCTTTGGTCGGTCTTAACAGACTCGTAGGGAGTGTGAAGGAGGAGCTGCCCTGTGAGCTTTTCTTACTCCACATTCAGGCCCTGCGGCATAGATTTGTGATTTAACAGCAAGTTTAATACTTAATACTACAATATTTCAAGCGCTTTTGACGATTTCCTGATAATAAAAGAGAGAGGTTGGGAGTCAGTGGACTCAAAGAGAGCTCCATCCTTGTTTAGAGCAACCGCTCCACAGAGCTGGTAGAAAAACTCCAGCTCACAGTTGAGACATACCAATGGGCAGGGTGCATCTAATCCTGGGGCACCCTGTTCTCCTTTCTCGCCCTTAGGCCCTTTTTTGCCCTTCTTTCCCTTCTCCCCCTGCGGATACAAGGGTTCGGTCAGGTTAAATTCATTTTTTTCAACAATTATGACTGCAGCGAGGAGAGATTAAAGAGGGAAGTCTATGACCCAAGGAAGAGTAAATGCAGAAGGTCAGATAAGTTAGGTAGGAGGGGATACAAGGCAGAATCAGATCTTTTTTTTCAAGGACGGGATACAAAAAGCAGGGAACGAGGTAGAATGGGAAACTTTTTCAAAAGTGGTGTCAAGGGCACAAAGGATGAGAAAGACTAGCAGGGAGAAAACCACCAGAAAATAAACAAACACACAGGAAAAGTCCAAACTCTAACACTTAAGAATTAAATCGCACACATTTCTACATAAACAATAGGAGTCAGCATCCATGCAAACATTTCAGATAAGCATATTAACATACGTAAAATTTCTAATCTTTAAAGTGCTTCAAATCATCATTCTAAAATTGACACACACTCTTTACTGACATCCTAAATAATATCGTATGGATGTGTTTCAGAAGCGTGACGTCATGACGATTCTACTTATGGCCGCCATATTGAGTACCAAACGCTTAGCTTAGCTCTGTGGCGCTTTCCTTCTGACCAGAATGGATCATGCTAATTTAAATCCCTGTGAGAATAAAGGAGACACAGAGAAAATCGGTATTGGATACGATCCATGCAACCTTTTTAACACCTTTTCTTCAACAGACAAGCTTCCAGATTTTTCCTTTAACAACTTGACTGTTAGAATGTTAAAAACCGACTGATAAACATCGGATTAATTAAGGAGAGGCACTGGAAGTTACAACATGGTTGCAGAGCATTGGACCAGATCTTCTCCCTTGCACTTTCTAAACGGATTATTTGAGCTTGATTGTTTAATTCATATGTGCTGTATTGAGTCTTGAGAGGGATTGCCACCTCATAGCATTCTGTAGAATAGGGTCTGTGGCAGTATGGGGTGCCTGAAATGATTTTAAAGGCCTCTTTATCATGTTTTTATAAAAGAGACAAAAGATTAAATACAATGATGCACATTTTCTGTCCAATTTTACACAGACCTTTGAAGAAATGTACCTTGTTGCCCTCTCTAGATAATCATTTACTACACCAGACATTACTGACTGAGTAAAACCAGGCATCCCCAAAGTCTGTCCTCGAGGGCCGCTGTCCTGCAGGTTTTAGAGGTTTCTCTACTTTAGCACAGCTGATTCTGATGATTGCAGTTCCGCAAAAGCCTGTTAATCAACTATCAATGTAAATCCCCTGTGCTGGAGCAGGGAAACTACTAAAACCTGCAGGACAGCGGCCCTCGAGGACCGACTTTGGGGATGCCTGGAATAAAACTCTAACAACCGATGCATCCTTAGTGCATCTTTAAAGTGAACATCATCACAGCTTCTCTATGAAAGCACCAATTTAGAACTCAAACGATTACTCTAATCTGACAAATCGAGTCATTCTTACGTCACAAATGTCTATGATGAGTGTATGTCAAATTTTTATTACTGATGTTGAGAACCTGAAAGAGATATTCTATGTTAGAAAACAGGAAGCAAAATTCATATGACAGGGAAACATGATACAGCGTCTTAAAGGCATACAGCATCCAAAAAAATATACCATATCTAAATTACAGAGAAAAAAATGCAAAAAACAAGGAAAGAAAGCATCGCAAACAGGCTTCAAAAATGAGGGAAGTGAAATGGTCATGCATGGAAAACAAGACATTCATGGGACTGAAGAGCCTGCTGTCAATGGACATGTTTGGATTTATATATGATCTCTCTTTTTGATGACTGAAAATGAAGTCAAATTTGAAACAATGAGATGGTAAAATTATTGAAAGGGGTAAAAAAACAGGTTTGAGAGGATTTTGGGCAGCTTAATGTTTCTGTAAAAAAAAAACAGCAAAAAAATTAAATTTATTACGATTATACAGGTAAATATTGAAAATTCTTTTTTTTTTCATTAACTGTATACAGAAACAGTTTACCTCAAACGAGAAGATGAATTAAGAAAACTGCTAATAGTTTTAGCAGTGTTGTACTGTAAACCTACTTTCTGCAACATACAGTAAAGACTGTCACTGTCCATTGACATCAGTCCTATCCCGTTAGGAGTATAAATAAGCCATTACACAATATCTACATCTACCTTTTCTCCTCTCTCCCCATCGTCGCCTTTATCTCCTTTTAATCCAGGTAACCCCTGTAAAGGTACAACTTTACTTAAGCACTCTGTCTTAACTGCCAGATTAGGGTTTTTTTTTCATCCACACAAAGCTAACCAGGTCCGGATCAAACAAGATATAAAAGGTAATGAATTACTATTGTGCATTTATTTATATCCAAAAATGAAAATTAAGAGGAGGCAAAGAGCTGTCTAAAAGAAAAAAATATTTTTAGTACACCATTGGGTTTAAGTTATACCAGGAGACCCATTCTAGTGAACGATATCAGCATCTTAAAAAAACAGCTCTACTGTGTAATGTTTTTTCCTCATGGATCTCCAACCAACAACTTTTTAAATGTTGAGGTGATATCCTAGAGGACTTTGATTGAAAAGTGGAAATCACATTTCTCCAGCAATAATTTTTCCAACAATAAAATGTTGGCTAATTTGAATCAAATTCATAGCTCCCTCCTCCCATATAAAGAAAAGGATGATGGAGCAGCAGTTGAGTTTCACAGCTCAGGATATAAACCCCTGGATAGTTCTTAAAAACACAAGTTTAAGATCCCTCCTATAAACTCAAAATGACTTACGAGTAAAATATTGGGATAAAATGGCAAATATGAGCTTTAGGTAGTAAAACTGCTAAATCAAACTTGCTAAAATCAAGTACTAAAAGAACAGCAATTTCTAAAGTAGAGATTTATGGCAACAATCAATAAGCAGATCATAAATAACCACTGCTTTTAGGTCAATATGCAAAGTAGTTTAAAACCCTACTTTTATAAACTCCTGTAGAAGCTAGATGTGCTTCAGCACTAGAATGGATTAATGCATAAACAGAGGCATTAAGAAGATTTTGGTTTGACTTTTTTTTTTTTTTTATTCCTTTCCGTAAACATATTTTTGATCATCAGTTAACTCATATGCAAGAAAAAGTCAAATTAACTTACATCCAAACCTGGTGTTCCAGCTGCTCCCTGGAGAGAAAAAAAAAAAAAAATTAATAAATAATTCCCAAATACTTGACTATCACAAATTACAATTTACACAACATTTTTCTATCGATATTGTGTAAAATCACTGCAAAAAGTATCTGCATGGAGTTATTCTGAACCGATAATAACACCTGTCAAACTTTTGAATTACTTAGTATTAAACGGTACAATCTAATATCCTATGTGTCCTATATGACATCCTTTTTATCGAACAACAACAAACATGTTTCCCAAAGTTTGCAATGTCAGAAAATACTAGTAATATTACAATGTAATACAAATGCTCGTAAATAAAACAGAAAAAATCAAATTAGTTCCCTTTTTATATAGTTACATTACCTTGAAAAGTCTGTATTGATTTATTTTCTTATACTTTAAATTACTGCACAATCTGTTCATTATTTATGCTCACGTTGACATTTGTACCTAGATATCTAGAATAGCATACTGTTGTAAGACTTACTGGTAGTCCATAGGGCCCTCGTGGTCCTGGCTCACCTGGTGCACCTTTCTCACCCTGTTATAATGAAGTCTAGGTTAATTACCCTTACATTTAAACAGCTGCCTAATCCGATTGTTAAAATGAATTGAATGTCAGATGTAAGAAAAGAATGGAGTCTTAGCCTTACAATGTCCCCCTTTGGTCCGGCCGGACCAGCTGGACCCGGGGGCCCGTCTGTGCCCTGCAGAAAGTAGTATATTGAGGGTAAGTTTGCATTTTTAGGTTACAAATGAGACATTCTGCAAGAAATAATACGTGAAAATAGGTTTAACTTGACAGTATTCATATAGGATCTTAGTTACGACCAGCACACAGAGCTTGTAGACGTGCATTGGCCACAAAGGACGCTTACAACACTGCTGACACAGTTAATGTATGAGTGTGTGTTAATGCGACACAGGACAAAACAAGAGTCTCAAAATGTTTTGTGTAGCAGTTTTCTGTGCCTTCATTTAACTTGGAAGATTGATAACATGAAAAGTGTATAAAAAAAATAGCTTAAATTATTTGCATTTTGGAACAATGTGCAAATAATATCGTAACGATAAAGAACTTCATGGAGGGAGAGAGAAAGAAAGGCTGAGACAGATGCTTGGTGGTGAAGCCCCTTGAACACATGACACTCACCCTAATTCCAGGCTTGCCGTCCAAGCCGGAGGCTCCCTGTGAGGTTATGGAGGTATGAGTGACATGAACAAGGCGGGATTAGTACCAGATGAACACTGTTATTAGGACAGGTTGATGGCAGGGTTCACAACAACTTAATCAAAGGGAGCTTTGGCTAAGGTAGTCAGTCCAGGCAAATGAAAATGAAGACAGAACATGGACAAAGGCACTTTGGACACACACAAACTAACGTAAGCAAACATTCCTATGTGCACCTAATCTTGAAAACAAAATTAAACCTAAATTCTGACAAAGAAGCCAAAATCTTCCAACTGGCTCTGTATTGCTCAACTTACAGGGAGACCCAGTGGTCCACGGTCTCCTTTGTGTCCTGTTTCTCCTCTCATGCCCTTCAGTCCATGCAAACCGGGTTCGCCCTGCAAAACATAGAAGAAAAATATGATTATGCACAGCTGACTACCAATCTTTGCAATAACTACTGTGTTTTGAACATCTTTTCATTGTCAAATAGAAGAAATAAATGTATTTTAATTTGATGGATCAGCACAAAGTACATAACTGTTAAGTGAACAGATGTTTTTCCTTTAAATACAAATCTGAAGGTAGGCATAAATCTGCATACAATCCCCTTTACTTCAATAGATTGATAGATTTCAGTGTAAATTAGCCTTAAGAAGTCACCTAGTTCAACAAATAAAAACTAAACCAGAATAGAAGAATTGAAAATATTGTCGATGAACTCTCTGCATTTAACCCATCCCCTTGGGGAGCAGTGGGCTGCTCTGGGACCCAGAGTGGGAGTCTGTGGGGCTCGAACTCGGAACCGCAGGAGTCCGAGGGCAATACCCTAACCACTAAGCCGCCACTCCCTTTTAAACTAAACTAGATATCAAAAAGTAAAAACAAATGGATAGTAAAATAGAATTTAAAACCAGAAATTAAAAAAACTAATGACAATTTCAAAACTATTTAAACCTTGTCTCTTAAGACAGGATTACAATGGTAATTTAAGGCAGATGAAGAAATCCATCATCAGTCATGCAGTTTTCTTTATGAAATAGTGGCAAAAAGGGTATTTTATGAAAAAGACAAGATGTCTCATTTAAGGTTTGCAGAATTTACAGGTGGAACATCAACTCCTAATTCCCTAGCCCTAAAAGATTGTTGATGAAGTGAAATTGTTTATATAACATATGACCCAAGGGGAATAATACATCACACAAAAAATAAATAAGTATCATTTTTCCTTTCACAATGTAGTTACGCATTACTTTTAAGGAGTTAAAATGTAAATGAAACAAAAAACTGAAAACTACTTCTTCTTTCTATTAATACTGGCTTGTTTTTTTTTTGTTGGTTTTCAAATTTCAAGTAAAAATTCTTGATTTAAAGAAACATAAATTAAAGTGCACCAGTGCTATTCATATTTTTAACTTGGTTGTTTCAAGGCCAATTATACTTCTGATGCATAGCCTCTGCAAGTGACAAATCTGTCTCTGTGCGCGACCATGCCCCCCACGCAGAGGTTCTGCAACCGTCGTTGTACACCTCAAAAAAATCCTGACTACGCTTCGGACAGTCGCAAACCCGTGCAGATCTTAAGCGGAAGTGCAAAGACAAGAAGCAGCTGTGATTGGTCCTTGGTATGCCTTTCAGGCTGTCTGTGTGGTCGTCCTTCTTGATTCGGTGCCGGGGCACGCCATTTTTAAAAACCGAGGAGTAATAACAGCAATGGATAACCGCGACGAAAGGTTGATCAAGGAGGTTCAGAAGTACAACCGCTCATACCATGCCTCAGACACGTAGTTTTGGAAAATAAACACTCCCGCTGCCGCCGCTGATGAAGTTCTCGCAAGTTCTAGGCTCCCCCTTGGCGGCAAACTGCTGTGTGTCCCTAGAAATTCCAGACCGACATTGCGGAAGCATACCAGCAAAACTGGTTCGTGACCAGTTGCAATCGACATTTGATGCGTGTGGTTGCAGAAGTATAATTCGCCCTTACGACTTTATTTGTTAATTTTAAACACTTACCTTAGGGCCAGGGAAGCCGTGGGGTCCCTGAAAAACATTCAAAAAGGACACAGTAGCTTTATTTCACAGAGGACCTTGTTAGAACATGAATAATGACAGCCATTTATTGATTTAAGCAAATCTAACTAGTTTCCCTGGAAGCCTTGATGACATGAAAGGAAAAGGTGAACAAGTTCAACTCCTATTGCATTTCCACAAGGATGTCAGCAAGTATTATCGGGTTCTTTGTTGCATGTTATATTTAGTTTGATCTAAATAATATTATTTTAACCCAAATGCAAGTTCATACTGAGACGGCTTTTAAACTGATGAGCAAAAACTGATACCTCAGGGGGTTTTAACTCTTTCACAATAAAGTACAGTCACACCGTTAAAAGAAAAACAAATACTGAAAAAGAAGACACGGCAAAAAAAAGAATAAATAAAAATTCAACAAGTTCACCTTCCTCATTTCATGTCAACTCATTTAATTTCATTACAGAAAATACTATCGGTGTACAAAATACCCCAAAACTCACCATAGGTCCTGGGGGCCCGTGGGGTCCTGGTGGCCCTGGAGGTCCAGTTATCTAAACATTTTAATAGATTACACATCTTTACTGAAAGCAATGTTTTAACTTGACTTCATGTGAACACTAATTCCCTGCATAGCTGGTTAAGAATCGAATCTGAAATATTAAATCCATTGCTCTTTTTTATAAACATATGTTACTCACAGATGGACCTTGTGGACCGGGAAGTCCTGGATCTCCTTTATCTCCTTTGGCTCCATTAACTCCCTGTGAAAAACAAGAATTATGAGATTAACTGTGTGAAAATGTTGAATCAAGATACCTTAGGAGAAATCTTTGTCACTGTGATGGACTGTGAGATACTTACTGGTAAGCCAGGTAAACCGGTGCTTCCTTTCTCTCCTGACGCCCCTGGCATTCCCATATCTCCTTTGGAGCCTTTATACCCCTGAGAAGTTAGACATGACCACAAGATATGTGATATATTTGAATTTAGACTCCTCATTGGTGCCTTCTCTGGCAATGCATTGGGCATTAATTACTATTTGTAGCATATGGTTCAAAATATGACCCAAACAAAGTTTTTCTTACTCTTTCCCCATCAAATCCAGGAAGACCAGGCAAACCGCGATCTCCCTGAGGCCACACAAAAAAGACAGCATTCTTACTATATACAAATCTCATATATTCAATTAAATGTCTGGATCTTGCGTAATATGTCCTGCACTAAAGCAAGTTTAAAAGGGAATCCTGTCCCAAAAGAATAAAAATGTAAAACATTAAGGGGAAAAAAGTTACCTTCAAGCCTTGTGGTCCCATAGGTCCAGGTGGCCCAGGGGGACCCTGTACATAAAACAATGACAGAAAGGTAGAAACAGATGACAAGGTTGCTCAACTGATGGGAATATGCAAGGCCTTGCAAATGTCTTCTCCCCCTTAGCTTTTTTGGCATTTATTTCTACATTTCAACCAGGAATTCAAATGTTTCTAACTCTTATTTGATGTGAAAGATCTGTATAAAATCACCTAAGTTGATAAAGTGAAATAAAAAGTATATATATGGAAAAATAACAAAATAAACAACAAAAGACTGGGATGTTTATCCATCTCCAGTCTAATGTAATTTGCATTAAGTGTAATATTATCTGTTAGTATAAAAACACCTTTTCTTAAACGGCCCAGAGGCTCCAACAGCATGAAGAACAAGGTGCTCTCCAAACAAGTCAGAAACAAAGTTAAGCAGCACAAGTAAGAATGGGGTTCCAACAAAATATCGAATTCTTTTATTTTCCCATACTGCATCGTTTAATCTGTTGAAAATTCATTTTTTCTTATTTTCTGTTTTAAATAACTGTTATATCTGTTTATCCCTATATATGTTCACTCTTTTGTGCGGGTCAGCCAAGATGTACATTCTTATGCGGACATACGTGGACGGAGTTGCTCCAGCATCACCTTATATGGTAACGCTGTAGGCTGTGAGAGGAGGCTGGATGCTTACTGGGGACTTTGGGTGAGACACTCCCTAGCTGATTTTAGATCAAATGGGAAGGTGGGCAGAGGCTCTCTGCTTTTCAGAGGGTTCTCCACTGAATGATTGCGATGTAAGGGCCGAAGAGAAGGGGAGATCTTCCTCTGCAATCTGTGCTTGTAGCAATGTTTTTGTTAACCATGACTGGAATAAATTCTGTTAATGCTTAAACATGCGTTTCCTTCTTTGTGAACACTATCTGAGGAACACTACCTCCACGGTTAATAAAACAGTCAAAAAACAACTCCTATGAATGAAAAGCACCTAAGACAAACCTGCTAATAGCTTCACTACAAGGTGAAGATGAGCAGAGAGCAAAGATAACCCAGTTACCTAGCAGGGGCTGGGCTACTGGTCAGAGTTGAGCTACATCTTTGGCACTCTACATTTTGCTAGACAAGACCCAGAAGAAACATTGGACTGGTTTAAGGGGAAACGTTTAAATATGTTGGAATGACCAAGACAAGGTCAAGACCACAATATATTTAAGAACCTGTGATTAAATCTAAGGATTGCTGTTTACAAGTGAAAACCATCCAACATGTAATTTCTGAAGGACAGAAAAACAGTGGTAAGAGGGCAAAATCATACAGACTTATAAAAAGCTACTTGCAGCTGAAGTTGTTGCAAAAAGTGACTTTACAAAGTGCTGGTGAATAGCCTTGCCTTTCTGTAAATCAAATTGTCTTTCTTTACATCAAAATAAACAAAACGATAGATTTTCAAAGTACTAACAATGTTTTGTAAATAAAATAATCAAATAATCCTTTATAATTCCAGGCTGGGTGGTAATAAAAATACCAAAGGGGAGTGAAAACATTTACAAGGCGTTCTATATTACCTTCATGTGATTTTATTTTTTACATCTTAGAACAATATTTAAATGGGAAAAAAAAACATGTAGAAAAGTTGACACACTGAAATGATTTAGACAAAGTAGAACTACAGTTGAATTTTACACCTTAATCACTGAAGTGAAAGACATGCGTAGATCAGAGGGAGTTATAAGGAAAAAAAAATAAATTTGTGTGTTAGGATGTGAGTTCTGCAATACAATGTTACAGATAAGCCACACTATGACATTTAAACAACACACAGTATATTCAATTGAAATTGAAAGCATTCATATGATTACCATAAAAAGTTAAAGATTGATAACTTCAAGGTAACACTTAAGAAGTACTTAAAAAGTACAATATATGAACTATATTTGACTGTAAAATATCATTCTGTTTTTGAATAGTTAGATGTTTTTATACAAAAAAATGTACTTATAACAAATATAATGAGCAGAAGCCCAAATATCTCTGCAAGTTCTGAGTCGTCTGCGTCATGGCAACCACAAAACAGGGTTAAATCGGAGGAAACCAGACTTTCGCTCTGTTTTTCTAAAAGTGTTATGACCCCTATCTAGAAATATTTTTCATCCTATCAGATCATATGAGCCTTAACAACCCAAATGTTAAGGTTGTTTAAGATTTATATTTAAAAAATTTCTAGGTTCTACAGAAAAAACTAACATTGGAGTCAAAAATGGGCACATCTACAAATATGGCAGATACTCCCAACAAAAATACTCATAGCTTTACTTAGCGGGGCAGTGATTAACCTGTCACCTGAAGCCGAAAGAAACAACAACGTGTAAAAGAGCGTGCAATGATGCATGAAAGCACAGACTGAAAGATTAAGGTTATTCCACCACATATAGACATCAGAATTTGTTCAAAAATTATTAATTCATTATTTCAATGCATATTTTGATAATATGAAAATGAACTGCTATTGTTTGGAGTCTAAAAACAAAATATTTTTCCTCTTTTGAACATTTGTCCTTAAATACCAGTAGCCTACATATTCAAATGTGATAGGTCTATTTGACTCCCCCTCAACACACACAAAATGTTATTAATTCTTAATAAAATTAAAAGTGTTCATTTTACTCAAACACAGCTCTAATAAAACTAAATGCTTAAATGCACCAATGGTGGGTTTTCAGATATCCTAGCAGACAGACAATCAAATTTTTAATAATCTTCTTGAAGTTTAAGATAAATGACATTTCCTTTGAAATGTAAACAGATTTTTACGTAAAGCAAAAGATGATCAACTAAATAAAAAAAATTGACCATGCTGAACTTCTAAAAACAAGTCCCTTGTTGTTACACTATTTTCTTTTAATATGCTGTGTTGTGAACACCCCACATTTTTTGAACTATTACTAAAATTGTTCATTCTTATACTAAGCTTTTTAAATTTACACTCACTTAAAATGTAGAGATTCAATCTAACATGGTGAATCTAGGGTTTTTGTTAAGGCAAAAATGTAAAAAAAAAAAAAAAAAAAAGGACACAATTTCCAATGCAAAGAGATAATTAGTGTAATTTTAGGCCAAATTTGCAGAGACATTTCAAAGAAAATAAAAGGATTTTGGATCAAAATCTAAAATAGTTCTCTAATAATGTATTTTTAATGTTTTTTTTTATAACAACTAACGTGACAGGAGTAATCTTAAATGAATTGTAGGAAAAAAAAATTGTTGCATTGTTTATTATTTATATATTTTACCATATTGTTATATGTAAAGACTGTAACAGACAAAAACAACATTGACACGAGACGCTGTTTCATTCACAATACAGCAGGCATGTGGCTGGACGAGTGAGCATAAACACACATAGGGCAGGTCAAACCAGTGCTGGTACTGTGTTGGCTCCATGCTGGGACAAAGATGGATCATACGTGATGATGACACAACACACAGAATACACACAGCCTATTTACCGTGACTGTAATAGTGGTAATCCTCTGCAGTTGGCCAAAAGAGTGGGAACGAAAGGCAGGTGGAGATAAGATTACACAGGTCACTTATATGAAACTGCTGTTTCAGCACTTTTCTGCTGTTGCGCTCATGAAACTCTTAATTTATCTGATACATGAGGAAAGCCAAGTAAAAGAAAGTTTAAGTTTCAAAGAAAATAAAAAAAACTTGGTCTAAGTGATCCATGACTGAGGACTGAATGTTCTTTTATGAATCAGATCAAACCAAAAAGTCCTCTTCACAAAGATATGACAGCAATAATGTGTAATGTGTAATAAAGTTAGGCAATAAATTGTCTGACCTGCAGGGCCTCTTCAATGTTTCCATTGTAGTCGATGATTTCAGTGGCTCCTCTGTCTCCTTTTTGCCCTGGAGGGCCCTGCAACACATCAAATCCACATATCAATAGAGGTGATTGTTGTCCCCCTGGTGGAGAGGGGTTTAAAAGCAGCTGAATCTCCAACCCAGACTTTGATTTAAAGCATGCAAAATTATTAAATCAACAAACTAGATCTTAAAGATAAGTGCTTACCCTTGGACCGCTAGATCCCAAATCCCCTTTATCTCCAGCGTCCCCCTTAAATACAAATAAATTAAGAAAATAAAATTGAAATGTTTGCAAAACTCATCAATTCATGATGTTATTATATACATTTGGTCATTAATAATTAACCAACTTTGTTAATATTATACCATTTTTTTCTCCTAATATGATTATATTTTAAAAGAAAAAGTATTAACTTATTAATTGAATCTCTCAAGTTTATAAGTTGAAGGTTTTAAAACTAGATTTTCTAATGTAGAAATTACCAACAGAGCCATCCACAATTATTCCTTCCTCCAGGTAAAGATGCATACAAAGCCTTATAATAGATATTTTAGTAACATAATATTATTACGGTATCAAGAAAAGATTCCCTAAATAATAAAATGGTAAATAGCCTGTACTTTGCACTGCATCCAGTCATTCACCCATTCCTGCACACTGATTGGGGCAAGCTGCAGAGTATCCCCAGCTGCTCTGGGGCTCACTGGCAGAAGCAGATAAAAACATTCAACAGATTTTTATAAAATTCCTATATCACCAATTTAACTGAAAAATTTTCTATGTTGATCTTTGCATATAAACTTTCCATCTCAATGGAAATAAAGGCGAAACAAAAGCTATTTCACAAAAAACTCATAGGAACAGGTATTCAAATCAACCACATAGTGGAGAAGACAGTATGGGGATGGTACCCACACGGAGGTATGGGGAGGAAAGATAAAAGCTTCTTAGCTTTATGTTACAGAACTGCAACAAAAGGTAGCATTTTAAAGGGACATTATGTAAATTTTTACTGACAAAATAGAATTAAAACTGCCTTTTTATTTGACCCTTTATGACTAAAACATTGTTTGATGAGCAGACTGACAACTCAGTAGTTGAGCGCTGATGCATCTGCAAGCCTGTATCCCACAGTTTGATGGATGTGACGTCAAGCACATTCATGTTAAATAGGTTCTACCTAGCAAACATTGGAGCATCCTATTCAAGATGGATTTTGTGTATACTCAGAAGTGACCAACATTTAGCTCAACTCAGACACGAATGGCAACTCCACATAAGGTGAGAACAAGCTGCTGAGTAGAAGCTACAATAACAACACAGATGAGTGCTACAGTTCTTTGTTTTAGCCACAAGGGGCAGTATCATTAGTAAAATCATGTCTTCTGAGCCGGGCATACACTGTACGATTATTTTGCATACACTGTACGATTATTTTCGGGTGGATTCTACAGTCGTGCAAGAACTTTTTGGGAGAGTTACAGCCTCATCGTGCGTCCTACGTTGTGTAACATGGGGCTATTAGCCTCACGTGACCACCTCCCAATCGGGAGTCGTAAGGTCGGACAAAATCAAATATGTGTGAGGTGTTTGTGGACAATTCCTGCTGTTGAAGCAGAGCTTGAGTCTACGAGCCAATTTTCCAGAACCTCAAGCACTGCACATGTGCAAACAAAGGAGTTATTCCAGATTGATGAGTCCGACCAGCGCCATCTATCGGGTCTCAGTCCAACACGTGGTTTTTGGATGTGCAGTGTGATCAGGTGGATCGCATCAGAGCGTCAGGACGCCAGTTTGAGAACATGCATACTGTGAACTTTTAAACCCTGCAGCTTTGTCATACAGTTTGAGCTGTAGCTGTAGCTTGAGCTTGAGCTGTAGCTGCTTGCAACGACTGAAAATATTGCACAGTATATGCCCGGTTTTAAAGGCAGCTTCATGATCCACAAGAGCCAAGACTTTGTTTCTCACTCCCGCAGCAAAAGACATTTTGTTCTCTCAGTCCTATCTGGACTCCTTTTGGACAGAACAGTCTGGCCAGAATTTTTTTCTCGCTGTGTGTCAAACTACTGTGTAGTTATTGGACAGGATTTAGACTTGCGTGTTTGGATGCGAGAGCAAAGCTAGCCTACATATCGGTTAAACTTAAGACTGTAGTTGCGCATTTCAGCTCTGTTAGGTTAAGCAAGCGAACATATCAATTCTACTCACATGCAGCATTTCATTTATAAATGATCAGGGATGGGCAGTGCTACCTCTGTAGCACCACATCTCCCTTGGTGTGGTATTTCCAAATAGCACCAGAGCACACTGAGCTCTTATTTCTATCTGCTTCTCTACGTTAAGCTCTCCGACTGCTAAGTGCTCGCTCTGTGTGTCCTCTGCCCCGGCCTTCTCACAATCAAACTTCATTGTCATTGGCAGCTTAACTTCCCATGAAAAATAAATGTCTTTGGGCAAAAGAAATCCTTTCCTTTTGATGCATCTTCTAGATAAGAAAAAATATATTTTTTCTCATCGAGTACGCCAAGGATTTAAGATCACCAAGTGTCTTTGGATGTAATCGCCGTAAATTGAACCTAGTTGTTTTACAGGCATGCTAAAAAAAAATAAAAAAAATAAATTTAAACCTACAAGCATTTGGCATTGGACCAATTATTCAAGCACTTTGACTGAAACAGCTCATATGAGCTATGAGCTTTGAAGTAACAAACTTTGGGTAGGTTTGGCAGAAAACAAAAGATGAATACCTCACCTAAACTATTAAGTATGGTACAGGATCTATGAGGCATGTGTCTCTTGAGATATTGGAAGAATCTTGCTAAATGTGCTTTCACAAAGCCTTTCAAATACCAGCATATGTTAAAAATAGGAAAAAGTAAAAATGGCCTAATTTGTAAGCCTCAATTAACACAGAAACAGCTCATTAGACCAAAAAAAGAAAAAAAAAGGAAAACAACCAAACAAATCAACCATCTTTCAAGGTGATCCAAGTTTCCAGACAAGAATCCTACAGAAACCTGCAGGGGAAGTTGTACAGGAGGTGGCAGGACTTTACATGATTTGCAGAGATTGTGCAAAGAGGAATGGTCAAACAGGCCTCTGTTGGTATGCTCTAAATTTGCCAAATGTGGCAGCAGACGAAGTGCTGCCCAACTGAAACAACTGGGTTGGACACATTATCAACCAACGGGTGCCCATAACGCTGTCAATCGTTATGTTAACAGCTGTTGTTTAATGTGGGACTTTTTTCTCTAGTGGCATTTGTTTGAAAACTCTTTTAACTAATTATTCTAAAGCTTATTACACATCTTTCCCAGAGGTACCAGTGATTGTGGAGGCGGTTCAGTATGACTGCTGCTCAGAAAATCAGAGAAAACATCTGTCCTTTGCTCACCTTTGACCCTTTAGGTCCAGGCATTCCAGACTCCCCTTGTGAACCCTGCAATAGGTAATTAAAAATGTTAAATTATACATTATATTTATTAAACAAATCTACTTGATGAATATAGTCTAAATTAACAACTCAAATATGTGTGGTCATCTTATGCATATTTCACTGTGAAGATATCATCAACCTCCCAGACTCCTCCTAAGGGACCAACATCACCAGCTCCAAAAACCCGCTCGGCTTTTAGAGTGACGTTACTGCCGAGCAATAGAGAATGTGTTTATTTGAACACTCCCTAACTAAGCCTGGGTTTCACAATTGGGGCTCCTAACAGGATGTGTAGCAGAATCATCTGAGTCCTCAAAGTTTAGACTGAGGCTTAAGCTACCAGTAGGGTCATTGGCAGACATAAACAAAATGGTAAACTCATTTAGAGTTGGCTTACTTAACTTCTACTCCTTAGAGATCCTTGTGCTTACCAATTATGATGGATAAAACAGCTTTCTTTGTTAAAAAAAACCCAGCCTTTCTAAATATCTTGATGTAATAGGATGAAGTAAGCTCTCTTCAACAGAAGGACTGTAGATGGCAGCAAAGTTACAAATATGAACCTTTATTTCAACACAGTTCATCTGGATGGGATTGAGCATGTGAGCATAATTTCCCTAACCTTTGGCCCAGCAGGTCCGATTTCTCCACGTTCACCTTTTCCTGCTGGTCCATGGTCACCTTTCTCACCCTGTTCAGACAACAAAAACATGCTGTTTAAAAGCCTTTCACTTGTAGCACAACAAAGCGTTGCTGAATGAGATTCTTGGTGTTTTTCTTGTCTGAAGAACAGCTTTAAACCAGGGGTGTTCAATTCCAGTCCTCAGGGGCCAGTACCCTGCATGATATGTTCTTACTCTCTCACAGCTGAATAAAATGGATAAATAACCTTACCTGTATGTCTTCCATGTCAGCAGAGATCTTCTAATGAACTGTTTATTTTATTAGGGCTTGTTGAAACAATAAAACCTTAGTTTTAGAGCTCCTTTTAACCATGAGAAGCAACTTTCAAATGTATGGCATCTGGGTTGGTGAGATTTTGAATAAATGAAATCATTCAAATGTGAGTTGGATTCAATTAGTTTTATTTTCTGCAGCAAGTGTTGATTCTGCAGCTTAGATTCTCTCTAAAGGACAAGTGAACCCAAAGATCCGAAAGATGGCGATGCAAAACATCGTCTTTCTCTTTTAAATGACAACTACTACACAGTGCTGTGCAAAAAAAACCTATTTCTTGTGTTTTTCTGCTTTACTTTGCACAAAAAGCAGACAGATTTTCCTTAGATATTTTATAAAGTTATTCATCAGTGTTTCTCCTGGCCTATTCAAGGTCCTTCAATAGTCTGACTTTAAAAAAAACGAATAGATAGTTAAATTTTGTCATGCAAATGTCATTGAAAGCATACTGTGTACTTTGGGTTAAAAGTGTAAATATAGTGAAGTAAAGGACATGATGTATGATTGATTTAGGTTAATAGATTAACCTTATTTGAAATGTGTTTCTGCATAAAATGATATAACATCAATCAAAGGCCTGATACACGACCTCAGAGTTACATGATCCACTGCAGTTGGTGCGGTAAGTTTTTAGTTAATTGCTCAAATAGAACCACACTGTCGGTGCTAAAATGCTATTTTCCATCTTCTTGTTTTATCCTTTGGATATTTACTAGACCATGTTTTCCTTTTAAGGAATTGCCCTAAAATACTAGCTAAAATTGCTTGTTGTGTTCTTGGTGTATTAGTTGTATTCTTCTCAGGTCTTCTGGATAAACACCTTCAAGAATCAAGCTAAGCAGCTCAGGTGCTTTCAACTGCATAACTAAAAGTAGACCCAATGCTGAAAGATCCCTTGATCTTTAAAACCTTTTTCTATAAGTCAGATTGAAGTGGTTCGATGAACAAAGAAACAGACCATTGAAAATGAAGAGCATTGGGAAGAAAAAAAGTACATAAGCAGTTAGTGTCTAATACAAGGACCTTTGAATAAAAGCGTACGGTAGTAAGTTTTAAGGAATTAAAAGACAACTTCGGTACGTAGCAAATGATACAATGGCAATATATCAAAACATGCAATGAAATTAAATTGCTTTCCTCTTATCTGATTATTTATAAAAAAGAAATGTCGTTAAGATTCAGGGGAAACTGCATCTGAGCAGTAGTGGGACCCTCAGAATTAATCAGAATTCCTTCACCTTAAAAATACATCCATCTAACCTAAAAACCAGTGTCTATATTAAACAATATCAATGGAAGGTGCTTTGCATCTACTACTTTCATTGCTGTTTAGCTGGAGAAACACCCATTACAGAAGAATACTACAGCAGCTGTGAGTGCAACTGAAACATCTAGCTAGATTTAGCCACTGCTTTCAGTGGAAATAAATAAGCACCCCTAAATGCAACACAAATATGTGACAGAAACATGGGTCATATTTTATACATATCTATGTATCAGCCAATGGTTTTTTTATGCAAAAAATTATCCTCCTCATCTTAATCCTTCTTTAAATGTGTTAACTTTCCTTCATGATAGGTAAACTGCAGTTATCTTGTGTGGAAGTATATGCACTACTATTGGTGCAAAATTAGTTAAATGATTTTATTTACACTCTAATTTATTGCGGCTGTTTTCAAAACATTAATTTTAAAAAGTTATTTCAACTCAACTCAAACTTTATTTATAAGGCACATTTAAAACAACCGGGGTTGACCAAAGTGCTGTACAGGAATCACAGTTAAGGAACATAAGATTAAAAACTGAAGGCTAATACATAAACTAAAATATAAAATATAAAAAAGAATAGGATAAATGTTTCAATTAAAATAAATGTTAAAATAAACTACAATTTAAAATAGAATTTTTCCAATTTATTTGGTAAATAAAGAGAGAAAAACTGACAATACTGTATTATTTTTCATTTCCAGGGGGGAGGCACCATTTAGTACTTGTGGACAGAGCCCCTGAAAAGGTTAGCACTGCCCCTGATCTTACAATTCAAACTGTGAGATCAGTGGAAATGATGTCAAAGGGGTTTTTGCAGCGTCAAGTTCAACCTCCATTTCCTGGTGCAGTGGGGAACTCTTCAGAGTGCTGCTGTTATCATTCAGCTCTGCTCCAGTCCTTTTGGAGTCAGGTATACATCACCGTGATCATTTATTTCCACAACTCTTCCTCACTCATCTGAAACACCTACAGGCACACAAATGTACGGCAAGTGTTTTGCGCCAAAGAAATTAGATTCTTTCGACGCAAATTTTTTATCAACAGGCTACAGGAGACGCCATGTGGGTTGGGAATACGGACAAAATATGTTGTTTTCAAGCACATGACTTCTGTTTATTAACATCCACATCTCATCTCATCTCAATAGAAAGCACAGATAAATAAAACGTGCATCCCAGCCCATGCAGCTAAAACCTCTTAAACTAAATGCATTATTCTTACATCAAATGGCAGCTCTGCAAATGACACTTTCTGCAGCTTTACAGACCTTGTAAAGTAATTGCATGAAATAATGGATGATTCAAATATTTTGATTTGTAGATATTTTCTGAAAACTGTTGCACCTTTTAAAAATTGGGTACCACCCCAAGAATAAGTTGATAAAGCTAAATAAGTTCTGCAAAGCTTTTCTTTTGTCCCACTGCATATCCAGCACTTAGCATAAAGCAAAACCTTGTGGCTCAGTTGTTATTGGCAAACAAGAGAAAACCTCTCTGCACCAGATTCTCTTCCAAGAGAGTAAAATCAGCAGCTTAAAAAAAGAACCTACAAAGCCCTTATTTATATGTAATTTTATAGTAATAAAAAACCCAGTTATTGAGCATCCAGCTGAATTTCTGCCTTTGGTTACCAATATGGAATATAAAAATGTTCCTTGAAGCAATACAGGGTGATGCAAAGAGAATATATGTGGATTATCAAAGTACTGCAGACAGCCTGATGTTTTGATCATCACCCCATGGCTCCAAAAATTGATAATGTCACAACCCAAATGAAACATCAGAGGATTAGCTTCTTGTTGCAGCTTCAACGTGACATTTGGAAGAGAAAGTTTTAATAACATCTGTGACATGACAAGAAGGTATCAGCAGTCCTGATAACAGAGTGTCATTGAAGTCTGTCAAACATGTTGTAGCTCATTCACCACTACGACAGAAAATTTAAGCCACTCACTTTAGTTCCTGGGAGTCCTGGAAGTCCCGGTTCGCCCTGGGGGCCGAGAAATCCTGGCTCACCCTGAAAAACACCCAAATGAAGGAGCAACTATTACTCACTTTTCCAATGGGTGTTTCTGATGAGCGTTAAAAAGCACATGTAAGATGAGTGGCCGAATATATTCACAAGGACAGGCATGCACTTACTGCTGCTCGTACACTCCCACATGCACACAAACAGACTAAAAATTGCATGCATAAATCACAGACGAAGACAGGCAATTTGTTAATTGCGTCTAAGTCTAAGTTTCACATATACTAACATTTTTCTTCTTCATGAGTGTGAACATATGAAACGACTGGCATTAAAAGAAACTCATCAAGTCTCTAAGGTAGAGTGTGCAGAACGGGTTACTTAACATTTTTGCTGGGCTTCCAGTAATGGGATGATGCCGCATTGAATTTGTGCTGTTTTTGGTTCTAAAACATGTTTATTATTATATCCATAACAACCATAGTCCCCTCAGTACTCAAGAAGCCCTGGATGAAGTAATATGCTTAAGTTTTACTAAGGGTTTAACCTGTATTTGGAGAAATACACTAGAAAAAATTTGACTCTATATACGTTTTTTTTCTTGAAATAAGTGCATTTGTTCTTGAATTGAGGAGGTAAGTGAGACACTTTGGCAGTGGAGCAAGAAAATTTATATTTAAAATAAGAAAAAAAAATATTGCATTGTCTTATTTCGAGTGCATATTATCTAATTATCTTATTAATAGTAAAAAATACTAATTCCATTGGCAGATCATCTTATTTACCTACTCAAATTATGCGTTAATACACCTAATTTAAGAAATGTCGACTTATTTCTAGATCGTTTTTGCAGCGCAGCAAAGAATGCAGATGAAGAATATACTACAAGTTAATCTGAGAACTTGTGAGAGTGCCATGTTAGAAAAAAACTTCTTAAAGTCAAACAAAAATACAGGCAGTATATAAATGGGAAATAACAGTTTTTTTGTTTGTTGTTTTTTTAACAAGGAGAGAAATATATATATAGAGGGATATTAAGAAAGGGAGAGAGAAGCACAAACCAAAACACAAGAACAAGCCTCAGCCTCATGCTAGTCTCAGCATTTATACAATTCAGACAATTTTTCAAGCCAATGGTCCTGAAATATATTAGCGTGGTTACAATAACATGATCGGGGAAATAAGTTGTTATGTTCCGGTTAAATGCTTAACTTATTTTTTCCAAACTTCAATAAAAATGATCCTAAAGCTTTGACCAATCAAATGTCCTCAATCAAATACTTTGTATTTTCTAAACTGAGGTTGTAAAGACTTATATACTGTAAAGAAAACCAGAAGGTTTTTATTTCAGAAGAAAGGAGAAATTTGATTAAGCATGGATCCAATTTCCAAATAGAGAGGATCCTAAACGGAGGTGGTCAAGGCCAGAGAGGATTTCTAAAATCTGTTCATTGCCAAACGATTCAAATCTTAAATGATTCAAGTTAACAGAACCATCTACTGCAAAGACCTCTAAACTACTGCCATCTTTGTCTGTGTGTATTCTCTGTCCTCCCTGCATTGTCATGGCAGTAAGCACAAAACAGGCTTAAATTGGAAGGCAACCAGACTTTTACTTAGTTTTTTTACTAAAGACGTTTTCAACACCTATCCAGGAGTCTTTGTCAGTTTTGTCAACAGATTCATGTAAATGTTTTTCGGCTCGCTCTGCAACCAACAAACCGAAATTGACAAAGATTCCTGGATGGGTGCTGAAACAGCTTCAGAAAAAAAACTAAGCGAAAGTCTGATTGCCTCCAATTTATGCCTTTTATGTCCTTGTTGCCATGTTTTCATTAGATGGTCATTTTTACTGAAAGCTGAATTTAATGAGGTCTCGTGGTTTGAAATGTCACAACACTAAAGCATTACATGTTTTCCAGTTGCTCCAAAATGTGACTTTTTTAAAGAACTAAATACTTTGAGGCCTACATATAACTGACACCTTGAATCCAAATCCAAATTATTTATGAAGCAGATAAAAAAAGCTAATTGTTCATCTGTGTATGAGTCTGTTCTGAAATAGATTTTTAATTGAACAACTGCTAGACCTTAGTATCTAATAATGTGTAAACTAGTTCTTAGAAATCACTTTCTTAACGGTAAAGTGGAGGATTTTCACAAAGTTTTGAAAAGATCCGCCCTCTCTACTTTAAAAAAACAAAAAAAAAACACAAGCACAACCCTGTACCCACTCCCGAGAAGGGATGCCTATTAAACGTGTGCAAGAGCATGCACAAGCCCATTTCTCCTGGTGCACGCTCTGTTTAAAAGTTGCTGTTTGCATCGCTCATACAAGCTTAGTTTCCAAAAGAAGATTTGTAATTTTTCCACTATATCAGCCTCCCCACCGGTAAGTGAAAATGTAGACAAGCACACAGGACGGTCTTCCGTAAACATATCACCAGAATGATTGACAATTAGGAGGACCACTTATTTAGATGATCCACCAGAAAAAGAACATCCTCCACTATACCTACTGTATAAGAACTGTTGAGGAGTGAGCTACTTCTGACCATTTCACCTTTTGCCATAACATACTTTTTCAAACATTTTACAACCAAAGATTTAAAAAAAAATACATAATTGAAAGCAGTGATAATATTTTATAAAAATTGTAAAAAAAAAAAAAAAAAAAAAATTAAAAAGGCAGTTCAGATTACGGAAGAGGATTAGGGCCACTGAAAAAAAAAAAAGTTTTGTTTAAAAGAAACAGCAGTTTGGGAAAACGCCGAGTGACAGGATACTTTTCAGCTGAAAAATTCCTCCACCTCTAATAAGACACTAATTACTGAAAACCTCTCTGAAAGGTATTGAGGACGATCTTTTTTTCCCGGGTGGATCATCTAAATAAGTGGTCCTCTTAATTGCCAATCATTCTGGTTATATGTTTATGTAAAGCTTTCCTACATGCTCGCCCTGTTAGCTTTCTTTTCTGTGCATGCACACTTTCAGGCGTGTATCTGTGGTGAACTACGGTTTTAGACAGTCATTGAAAATCACCTTTCTCTACGCAGTTCTTTGAAAATGACCGAGGGTTATAAAATTGTCAACGAAGTGTATGAGAAGAAAAGAATGCTTTGCACGGAGAGCTCTTCTCGCAAAGCATAATGGGATTTGCTGTCACAGTGACCCGCTGTTTCCATAGGCTGTCGCTACCCAACAGTGGCATACAATAACAAAGGCTACGTTCACACTGCAGCCTGAAGTGACCCAAATCCGATTTTATTTGGCCCATATGCGACCTGGATCTGATCTTCTCATGGCTGTATGAACAACACAGATCCGATTTCTTCCAATACCCAGGCCACTTGGCTATGTGGTCCTGTTTCCAACACGAATCTGATCTTTTCAAATGCAACCTGTTTCTGAACGGCCAGGTCGCATTTATCCAGCCTGAATGCCATTAATGCCCGACACAGGTCATTATTCTGGGTCTTGCTATGAAGAAGCGGCAAGAAAAACAACAACCATGGCGGACGATGATGTATTTATGTTTAATCATCTTGAGAAGATTGTGTTTTTATGCTTGGGAAAGTTTGCTAGATACGCTCCAGCACTACCATCCATGTTTACTTCCGTAAACATAGAGCATGCTGGCCTGTGAATTCATTTTGTCCTCTACTGCTCCTGTGGGACACTTGCGTTGTACGACTACAGTTCACACAAGAGATCACATACAAGTCGCATATATTTGGAAATGTGAACAGCAATGCAAAATAATTGGATTTTGCAAAAAAAAATCCGAATTGAGCATCAAGGCCTGCAGTGTGAACATAGCCTAAGATGGTGCAGGCACAGTGCGGAGGAGGAGTTACCTGACCAACGGAACAAAAAGCAGTGATCATCTCTCCAAACGGTCAATTAACTGAGTTTGCTATAAAGTCCACTATATAGTCCCCGCTGTATGTGGACACAGTAAGCTTATATGAGCTACAGTATGAGCACAGCACATTTTAAACAAGGTGGACCCGAATAGAAATGGGCTTGTGAATGCTCTTGACCATGCATTTTTTTAAGTGCAGAGGGTGGATCTTTTTTTCCACAATACCTTTAAGTATTCTAAAGCATCTGAACAACAGTTGATTTTCAATACTTTTTGAACTGACACGTTTTACTTCCAGCAATGGGGTTAAAGCCCTAAAATATGTATTCTATTTACTTATATTTACTCATATGCAGAATATTAACACTAATGTCCACAGTTTTTACTGCAACTGAAAATTGTTCTGCAGCTGCTGCAGATGGAACACTCACATCTGCGTGCAAATCCATCAAAGCCCGGAGAAAGCAAAATTGCTGGACCACAGTGTCATGTGAGCCACGAAAGAGGTTGAACTGAGTTGCTCTGAGCTCTCTCAGATAGGCAGAAGCGGATGGACATGGACAACACTGGGTGGACATGACTGAGAGGGGGGATGAAAACAGCGTAACAATTACCTTTATCCCTGGTAGTCCAGGCAGCCCTGGAAGTCCTGGCTCTCCCTACACAGGAAGAGTGTGACATGTTACAGCCAAGCCAAGCTAAGCTGAGTCAAGCCTCATTTGTAGGCTCGTTGTTTTTTTTATTAGCTCTGCATGTTATTTCCTGTTTGTGTTTTCACTGGCTATCGCGTGGCTGCAGCTCTGGAAAGCGGTCCCCTGGCTTGAGTTGATTGTCATTTGTTTGGGGGGTGGGGGGAGGCATTAGCAGAAAAGAAGGCACATGCGTTTTTGTTTTTTTTATACTAGCTCATGCAGCTGTAGCTTGACAGTCTGATTAGTACTTGTTATAACAACCCTTCACAAGGAGCAGCAGACTTTCAGCATGAATACTCTATTGGTTCAGACAGATGTGAAAATTTCCAGTTTCTAAAAAGGAAAAACTGTTAGATATGTTGGGTTTCATTCGCAAAAGCTGTTTAGGAGAGCTGCAATGGCTTTAAGATCATTAGAGTTTGGCAGTGTGGGAAGCTCACAATTTTTTTAAATATATTTATCTGTTACAAAAAAAAAAAAAAACGTCCTGAAGTTTGAACAGTGAACCAACTTTTGGTGAGAAAAAAAAATCCCCAAAAACTCAGAGGTCATGTCCTTTTTTAGAGAAATCTGTTAAGACTTGAAAGATAAAAATTCTGACAGGGAATAATTTACAGCTCAATTAGGCCCATTGTACTTATGTATTCTTAAAAAGAAATGACACTCTGGGGATCAGAGAGGAGGCCGCACAGTTACTTAGTGGCTTATAAAAGGGACTTTAAATTAATGATTAAACATCTTTCTTGTGGACAAACACTTTACCAGCAGTTACTGGCAATCATCCAATGGGAAATTTCTAATTAGAAGAAAGATCTTCATCTCTAGATCTCTAGAGATGATTGGAAATGTCTTGTGCTCCTGCACAAATAAGTTAGTCGTGAAGTACAGCAGAAAATAAGACTATGTGTGTTTCCTCTGCAGCTTACAAAGTAAAACCGATTTGCAAGAAAAAGAAAAAAAAATATGAAAAATTACAAAGTAGAACACACAAAATATGTCACCATAAAAATAAAAAAAAAGATCTAACACAATCTCAGTATAAGTCATGTCTTTTTAAATATGCACCTTTTCTGCTGCTTTAAATCACTTTTCATCACAATGTGTTACAAAGCTTACAAAGATACCTATACAGTGTTTTGCCCTTCAACCAAACCTTTTCAACTTCTTCTTACCTTTTGTCATGATAAATCACAACCTTCCATGAACTTTGTTGGGATTCTATATAATAGAGCAATACAAAGTAGTGGAGAATTTCTGTGGATTCAGTTCTTTACAAAACCATGTTTTTCTTTTGGGTTACTTTTTTAGCAGCTCCTTTACATATAGATATATATTCAGTACTCGAGTTGAAAATAAATAAAATCAAAGATGTGGGCTATTATGACTATGAAGCTGATCCCAGTGGTTTAATTGTCCTCTGCATTTGTCCCTAGCTATGTAGAGGTAGTGATAGCCACACCAGTCCAGGAACTGCCTGCAGTTCTACTGTAAGGTTACTTGTACAAGGTCAATCACCGGCATACCTGACATGTATCAACCATACCATGCATATTGCTTCAGGTTAATAGACTATATTAATTAGGCTATGTATACTTCCAAAAAAAAAATAATAATAATAATAATAACCATACCCCTTTTTTTTTTTTTTTTTTTTTTACAACTACAGTACTGTATATATTTACTTTTTAAATCCAATTGGATTAGAAAAATAGCAATTTATCACAGATTCTTAAGTAGATTCTGAAACAAATGCATGAGCCCTAATTAAAACATACCACTGTAGCTTTAACTTTATATCTAGGGATGTTTTCTGATGCACAGTCTTTTTTTTTCAGGTGTCATTGTCATTACATTGTCACAAGTACAGAGCAACAAAATGACTCTCTGCATTTAACCCATCCCCTTGGGGAGCAGTGGGCTGCCATTGTGCGACACCCGGGGAGCTGTGTGAGGTGAAGGGTCTTTGCTCAGGGACCCAGAGTGGCAGTCTGTGGGAGTGGGACTCGAACTCAAAATCTCAGGATTCCAAGTGCAATGCCCTAACCCCTACCCCCTTGGTGTATTTGTTATTTTTTTTACATGAGGAATTAAACAATGCTCAATCAGATGTTTAAAGCTTAAGCTATTTATAACCTTACCATGCATCTATGCCCCAATAACTTTATGCATGACCTGTCGGTATGCTCCCTGGGTTTCACAAAGCTGTCATAAAACAGCTGAATTTCTACTGCAATTAAAGCACTGCACAGCTGCACACCTTGGTAACTCTGAACACTGTTTGGAAAAATTAAGGTTAGAGGTCCAAATCTTCATATTGCTTCATATTGTTTTTTTTTTTTTACATTGAGTATGCATATTACCTCAGTGCATTAAAGTAGTGGTTCCAAACCTTTTTTGGCTTACGTACACCTTTGCCATTTTATCATGCTATGAGGACCCCTTGGCCAAAAGTGTTACTTTGCAAAAATAGAAAGTTCAAATGACAAAAAATATGTCAAATATTCATTTAATTTCCTTGACTTGAACATTTATTTTTTAGACATTTAATTCTTTCCAATTAGAATAAAAAATATCATAAATATGTATCCTGGAATTTGAAAAAGTGCTCTTCTGAATAAGTCCCCTATAAACACATCTAAACTTGACAAAAAAAAACTAAATATTCAGATTCAATGTCATAATGAAACACCTGACTTTCTCCTGAATCCCCAGCAATGAGATGTTTTAGCCATTTATCCTTGACTGCAGCTGCTTTGGAGTGTTCTTCTCTTCACTCACAGAGAAGTAGTGCAGGTGCACAGTACCAATACCCACTCTAGTCTTTCATTAAAGTTTTAAAAAGGAAATGTTTTTGATTTATTTTGCACAAGGGTCTTTACAGAAAAAAAACCCACTCCAGCCCTATTTTATTGTATTTCTTTATCTAGGAGGTAAAATATTAAATGTTTTCATGTACCCCTTGCAATGCATTCACAGACCACTAGGGGTACTAGTACCCCTGGTTGGGAATCACTGCATTAAAGGGTTACCTCTGGGTACTCAAGCTTTCTTCCACAGTCTAAAGTATGTTGGGTTAATTTGTCTCTCTAAATTCCCAATAAACACAAGTGCATGGTTGTTGGTCCTGTTATTCTTTCTTCTATGTTGCTTATGATGGACTGGTGACCTGTCCAGGGTGTAGCCTAACCCTCCCTTCATGTCTGCTGGAAAAAGGCAACAAACCCTCACAATGCCTCACGGATTAGCAGATATAAAGAAGATAACCAGGTGAAATTATACTCAAGGAAACTTTTTTTATTATTATTAATTAGGGAATCTTTTAAATATATTTGGTTCCTTTTAGAGGTATCAGTTTAAAGTGGGATGAATAGAATTACATGTCACATTGTTCTGTTCTTGATTTGTAAATGTAATTATTTCCTTCGCCTCTAGGATCAAAGTTAAGCACCACTGTGTATTATTCTATAAAACCTACTAAAATACATCACAGTTGGTTAGTTCAAGGATGTAAAGCACCTTTGAAGGCAATAAACAACATAAACAAGATGCCATAGCAGCAAACCTTGCTTTTTAGTTGCACTGCTGCAAAGCTACCTAATGAGTCCCGTAGAGTTAGACAAAACTACATAAATCCTAACTAAAAAGGGAAACCAACAAAGCTGTTAGTATGATTTCTCAGATTATATCGACTGAAAACTAAATGACAGATAAAAAAAATTCAGATTTATATGTCAGATTTATTTGAGCCTTCATCATATAGAAAACAAATATTTGGCACAACAGACTCCACTAGCTTTGAGATAACCAACCTTTAATTGAAATATCTTGGAATAAAAGCTTCCCCTTCTATTGAGTACGTCTAGGTATGGGCATTTGCACTGTGAACAGACATATCAGTATCTACAGACAGTATCTGTCTGTTGCATGTTTCTGTTCAGTCATGAAAAAATATTTAGATTTAAAGAAAGAAAAAAATATTACCTTCTGTCCGCTCCGTCCAGGTTCTCCCGGTTCCCCCTGCAAAACAGAAAGCTCTGTTTTTCTCAGCTGCTCTATTTCCAGGTATTTTCTAAATAGTATTGCAACAGATCTCAGGGGAACATTTTATTGTTGATTAGACTTTTTCAGACCTAAGACCATATTTATACACAGTTATATGTATTTTTGACGTTTTTGGGTGTGATAGAATATTTAAATCCTAAATGCTGTGTTCCCGTTAGCTTTAAATAAAAAACAAACAAACATCTCAATCAATAGAAATAAAGGCTTGAAAAGTTCAATCTGTTTTAACTTATGCAATTTGTGTATTGTTCCGGAAATAAAACACAACTATGTAATAATATTCTAATTTACTGAATATGACCCTAAACACATTGTTTTATGCTGCAATCAGTGCTACTTGAGATTCAGTGTTTTGCCCAGGTACAGTGTGAAAAGTGATGAAGCAAGGCTTAAACTGATAAGGTTACAAATAAGACTACACTAGATTTTAGATAATATAGATAAAAAAGTCTCCTTAAGTCAAGAGATCAGCCATTTTTTTTGCCATGGGCTGTACATGCTTTTATCCAGGGTGGTAATGTGTCAAAGTGAGGTTAAATTTGTTTAAAATATGAAAATGATTTAGTTTTAAATTGAGCAACAGGTTAAGACCACTTACGTTTCCTGAGGGCATCTGTGATTCATCAAAAATTGGTGGATTGTGCAAATTATAAAAAAGATTCTTAGTAGTAGAAGTGGTAGGAAGTCAAACATGAAGTTACCACACTGTTAGTACTTGGTAACCTGCTGCAACTGGCCTCATATTTGCATTGATAAGCCTCCTGAAAAATGTATTGTGCCTTTTAAATGGAGCCTGACAAACTTATAACTTCTGTTTTTGTCTTTCATTAACCCTCTTATGTGCAATTTGGAGGTGTGTGCACCAACAGATCGGATTTTTTGTAGCCAGAGTGGTTACAAGACAAAATACTAAAAGCATTATCAAATAGTAGCAAACTGTTTCCTGTCAAAGATAAAGTGTGAAATATGTTTTTCCCCTTCTCCTTCCCCATTATGGCTCATATCTTTCCACAGAGATAAAGGCAGCGTTATAGGGAACCACCTCACGGTGGGGACCTGGGAAGCCTTAAGAACGTGCCAAAGGCAGTATTCTGCAGCACGCATGGCCCTAGTTAAACCGTCCCCTCCGTTAAACCGTATCCATAAAGTGCAACTGAGAATCACAAATACAAGCCAAACTAAAACAATAGAATCATGTGTTTAGGATTTACCTTGATGCCTGCTGCAGAGGAGCCTGCATCACCCTAAGGGGAAAAAATAATACAAGAAATTAATTTATAACACAAAAAAAAACATGTTAGATTTAGTTTTATACATCACTAGTGCTGCCTGCAAGGTTAAAACTAAAACTTTTATACATGAAGGCAAAGGTTCCAAAGATGATTTCAAAAGAACTTCATTTACTCAACAATGATGAACAAAAATCACAAAACAGCTGCATTTCTGTGGTAAAAACAGTGTGGAAATCCAATTAGAAAGAAGGCTTTTTGCTGTTTTAAACAATGAAAGCCAAGTTTACCTTCCCACAGACCTCTGATACAGCGTTTAAATAGGCTTCAGAGCTGGAAATCATTTCAGTGTTTTTAAAATGTCAGAGTGCAGCTGCTTAGTGATCATGACATGAGAGCTGAAATCTAACACTATAATAGAAAAATCCACAGTAAAGAAGGTTAGAGGTTTGATAGATGTACTGTAACCGTTTGAAATGTACATTTCTCCAGGTAATGCATTGAACTGGATGGAGACAGAGCTACTTATGTTGCATTCTTTTTTTTCTTCCATCTAAGTCCTCCAGACATCCAGAAGCGAGGCCCTCTGCTACGCATCGCATTACTACTGCAGTGTACAGTTAAAGCAGACATAAAACAAGGGGCCAATAAGTGTAATTATGGGCGGTTGGTGGGAAAACGGAGCAGGGAGGAGGAGACTTGGTGCCTTCAGCTCTGGTGTGGACTCTGCGGTTTCACTACACATACGCCTCACGCTCAGAAGTCACAGCAGGAATGCATCTCGCCCTCAGCTTTTTATGGGAATCATTATGATGCATAGCGCACAAGTCAGTGTTTAATTGTAGCCCATTTTCCTTTTTTCTTTTCCTCTTCGCAACAAACTGCATTACTGTTTGCAGCTGCGCTTCTTTTTGCACACCCTGGGACGCCTCTTTGAGCACATCGACGTGCCATTCTGTTTTATGACCATTTTCATAAGTTAGTCAGGGTATAAGATCTCAGTGAATACATGTATTTTTACAGTCTGCAGCAAAATTAGAGTTCAAGTTACAGTTTATGGCAAAGAAAAAGGATTCCAAATCATTTTATATGATCAAACAGGAACGGTTTTACCCCCATGCTTTAAGGGCAGATCTCATGTTGTGGTTGACCAAAAAGATATAATAAAACTGGTCAAATTTATAGAGCAACCTTATCAAATGCAAAACAAACACACAAATCAGAGTTTGTTTTCACCTGTTGCTTGTTGGCACAGATATTCACATCTGCACCTCATCTCAAACAAAGAAGTAACAAGAAAGATCTAAGCTTGTAAAGATCATAAGCAAAACATGTCAGCAAAGTTCCTAGCATAAACAATGCTTTTCCCACAATTAATCACAGCATGACCACACTGTTGAGAAGAAAAATGAATTTATAAGGCACTTTTTACAAGAGAAGCCCGCATCAACTCTTGTAGTGGTACTAGAGGATTCTACATAGGCGATTAACACTTTGCTCCCTCTGTCGCTTCTGTTGCGACAGATCTAACACCAATGACAAGAGCCAAACGCGAGTTATGGCCATACTTTAATCTCTTCCAAATGTACGCCGTATGAGATGGAAAAAGTGGTGGAGCTGGAAGGTAAGCTGAGGTGTGGGAGAGAGAGAGAGAGAGTGCTGAAATGTCCCATCTGGGCCAATTATCATGTGGAGGCAGCAGAACGGCAATTTAACCACAGGGCTGAGTGGGACCAAGAGCTGTCACCGCAGCTCCTTCATTACGGGCACCCAGACCTGTCGCCACACACTGGCATTGAAGTATAATAGCCCAATGGTCTTATAATACACGCTTGGTCAATCGGGCCATTATCCAGCTGTTTGCTTGGAGAGGAAGATGTGCAAATGAGATGGAGGGAATTTATTTGGGAGCAGAGAAGCTGGGACGGAGCTGCGACGCATGTCATGCCACAGCAGCCCTCAAGCATAGCTCTTATTTAACATTACGGCCTTTAGAAACGATGACCAAATCCACTGGCCTCCGCTTAAATATCAGCCTTACTCATTCCGCTATATATGTGAGGTTTGGAGGGCAGATGGAGCCTAGCAACACTTTAATTGTGGGCCAAGACTCAAGACCTTCAGGATGTAAAAATTATTTTTTGCCACATTGCAATTGAAGCTGGAGCTTCCCCAAAAAACAAAATAACACATTAGTAGGGTTCGTTTAGTTTTTAAAACCGTAAATCATTTTTTTTCAATCTGCAACTTTTCAAAACAAGATGAGTCACACTTAATTTCACACCTAGTTAAATACTTAGACAGTAAATGGCTCAGAACTAAAGCTTTTAACTGCGGTAATGATTTGTTTTAAATGAGGCCAGAGAGGGGACCAGCAGACACTGTTGGAAAATGTAATTTTCTCTGCTGATGAAGGCAACACAGACTGTCCTCTCTGTATGTAAAACAAGAACAGTGGCGGAAAATGAAAACAATTACTTTATAACACTGCTGTCCTTTGGCTTGCCTAAGTATTGACAAAGTTTAAAATTATTTACATTTTGTCATATTACAGTAGAAAACCTAAATCTCTCACTGCAATTTTTTTTTTTTTACATAAATAAGTCATTTTTTTTTTAAAATAAGTGCATTTCCTTAAATTGAGGAGGTAAACTGAGGAAAAATGCCAATGGAACAAGACAATTTACATTTAAAATAAGAAAAAAACATTGCATTGTCAAATTTTATGTGCATATTATCTAATTATGTTATCTTAACAGTTAAAATCCTCATTCCGTTGGAAGGTCATCTTATTTACCTACTTAAATTAAGGGTAAATATACTTAATTTAAGAAATGTTTGCTTTTTTCTAGATCGTTTTCGGAGTGCAGCTATTTGCATTTTATGAGATTAACTAAATGTGGTTCATAGCCGTCAAGACAAAGCTGCTCCTGACACATTGCTTAATGTGAAACAATAGCAGTTGAAGCATCAAGCTGTGAGGATGCTTTTTTTCAGCAGGGGGGAAGACAACTGGTTGTAAATGATGGGATGTTGCATGAGAAGGATCAGAAGTAGGTTAATCTTCATTCCAACAAAATCTTAGTCAACTGAGGAAAGGAAAACTAAATGTACTTGTTTTCATAATCATTGAGGTGTTTAAAAAGAGGTGAGAGGAAGCACCAAAGGTTGAATAAAGTTCTGCAACGCTTTAACCTCTGTCTAGCATTTGAAAAAGTTGTCTTCCGATAGGAAATCTCAGAGTTAATGCATAGATGCATTAGGGCAGAGGTCTTCTACCCTGGTCCTCAGGGCCCGTTGTCCTGAAATGTTTTAGGTGTCTCCCTGCCACCCCACATCTGACCTGAATGAAAAGGTGATAAACAGGATTTTGCAGCATTTTGTGGCTGCCAAGGAGGTAATGCAATGGTTTAAATATTTTATGTTTCTCCACTTTTGCACTTCCTTTTTTAGTTTCATTTTTCATGTCATTCTGTTTTGTTGGTCATTGGTTTATTTTTCATTCTGTCTTATATTTAAGCCATGTTGCATTTTTTGAGTTA